TTTCTCCACCTTGGAAATTTAAAATTGTGTGCCCTTCCCCCCCCGTAATCCCCAAACAAGCAGGGCGGGCGGGGGAATTCTGGGAGTTGAAGTCCACACATCTTAAAGTTGCTAAGGTTGAGAAACACTGCCCTAGTGAAACCAAGATTTAAAAGTGGGCAACCTATTTGGGCCAGGACACATTTATTTAAAATTTTGAGAGCAAGTGGTGGAGACGTCCAGAAAATGGTGCTCTAAACAATTCCCCTAGGATGCTCCTTACCATCCAGGTGGGATCTCTGAAGAACCCAGAGGAATTCCTACAGATAACTACAGTGCTAAAGGCTGTCACTCTGCTTTATCCTTCTGACTCCACTGTAGCGCCACTAGCTGTGAGCTTCCTACAGACTTTTTTTAAAACTAGAAGATGCCTTTAAAAGAGAAATCAAGTGAGGCACAGAGTCTGGTAACACCAAGGAAGGTATCTAGAACTACATTGGTAGCTGTGGGCCTCTCACTGTTAACACTTGAATGCAAGTAAAGAAATGGAATAGAATGAAAGGGTGTGATTGATTGTTACACAGCATCTTGTGTAGGCAAGAAAAGGCAGCTCTTACAGGGGCATCTACGAGGGGTAGAGGGGTCAAAAAAGTCAAGTGAGAAGTCACAACCACAGAATTGAAGCTCTGTCCTTTTTTTATGTGTATCATGCATGCCCCCTGCAGATGACCCTGAGCTCCTAGTTACTACCCATCATCGAGATTCAGGACTTTTTTCTTTAAAAAGCAGGTGCAATTTGTGTTGGAACCTACCTTTGGCTGAGCCTAGAGGAGTCTGTGGGAAGAAGAGACATAGGTACATTACCAAAATAGAACAAGAAAAGCAGACGTTTCTTTGCCCATCCATCTTGGCTGTGAGTCAAAGCCCCGTGCGTGGCATTCTGGATCCTGCAGGAGCTTTTAAAGGCTTCCCTATTAGACAGCATCAGTCTCCTGCATCTTTTATCAAATTGTTCAGGAACATGAGACCTGAAGCTGTTCTCTCGGGGTGGCACTGCACGATGGGCTAAGCAAACCCTGGAACCATTGGCCAAACCAGAGGCAGAAGTTGAATCCCAGCATTAGCCAGAACTGGAGCCTAGCTTGCATCTAGTGATCAGATCTGCCTGCCAACCTCTCTTCAGTGAATTATGGTACCCATGTGGGCATGGCGGGGGAGGGCCTTTCATTCCATCCTCTTAAGAACCCTGTATGGAGGCCGCATTGAGAGAAAGAAGCTGGTCCTGACCTTCGGCGTGTGGGGTAGTTTCTCTTCCTTGGCCACCACTCTGGTTTCCTCAACCATGTTCTCTTTGGTGGAAGACGCTGAGATCCCATTTTCCAGTTGTTCCAGTTCTTTCTCCAACCTAGACCAGGAAAAGATACTGGCTGCTGAACACTGTTTAAAGCTGCAGAGCTGAAATACTGATTCCAGAAGAAGATATCCTGCTTTGCTACCCAGACATACAAATTATTCGATATAACATCCTTTCTTCATCATTAAAAAACTTATTTGCCTGATCCTCATCAATGAGAATAGACCACCAATTCTGAAATTTAACTCAACATATTATATTGTAACATAAGCTGTGGCTCTTTTTCAGAGACATCATTCTGCCCTAATTATCCTAGTCAAATAAATGAGCAAAATAAATAATAAGAAAAAATGTCAGATATCTTTGGAGCTTCCTGTAGCCTATTTAAACTGTGTGTGTGCACGCACATGTGCATGTATTTCCAGATATGAATTTTCTGGATTAAAACATTAACTTTTTTTTTTAACTTGCAAACTATAGTCCAGCATCAGAAGAGCCATAGGATTTATCAGATTTCCCTCTCCAAGATCACACAGTAGAAAACAGAAGGAAATGTTCAACGCCAGATTCCTCATTTTCCATGGACCATCTGGACGTTTGAGTCTGTCCCCTTCAAGTGTTGGATTTGCTTATTAGGAGGAATCATAGAAGTTGAGTAAATTGCATGTCTACTGATCTGAAGTATTTTTTGCTCTCTTTATCTTCCTGCAAAGCCCTGATCCAAGAGAAATGTTGGGCCAGCTACTCCGCTGGTATTCCTTGCTTACAATGAGGAGGGATTAAAGCATCCAAACACACACACCCCTACACAATGTAGAGGGTGGTGAATGTGTTGCTTCCTCACTACTGCCTTCCTGATTTCTCAGCTGAGTGCTGGACTTGGAGTGTGCCACCTAAATTGTGGAGTTATTCTTCCTGTTTCCAGTATGTTCTGCTAAACCTGCAGAAATACAGTATTAAATCAGAGGAAGGAAATAATAACTTGATAGCCTGGGCCTTCCCTACAGTCTTTCATTCCTGCTCCAACCTCACTGGTTTTGGGAGTCTTTAGTTCCTGAGCAATGATACAAGCATAGGTACTCATCCCTCATAGCATCCTCATATGGAGCTTCCTCATCAGCAAGAATAATCAGGCCAACTCAATGGATTTAAGAAAACAAGGTGTTTTAAGAGTTTTATTGAATTATTTAGTAGGCAATAGGCCAGTGTTGTCCAAACTTGGCCACTTTAAGATGAGTGGACTTCAACTCCCAGAATTCCCC